GGATTGTTATGACTGCCTATACTAGGGCCTATACCCCACGAAACGCTCACATGAACTTGGACACGAGTGAGGCCTTAAACATGAACACCATGTTCCAACTTTCTGGAGTTTACTGCAACATCTCAGCAATGAGGGGCATAGGTGGATAATTTAGGGTTAAGGGTTTACGGGACAGAAACTGGTCCTTGTTGGTTGTAGACTGGATTGAGAAATCAACTCTGGAGATACGTTCGCACGGCTCAACAAACTACTGCGCAGACAAGTGATGTCATCTGTGCAGAAATGCCTGCTGCTCTCTAAACAAAGGCCAGAAGCAGCATGCAAGAACCCTCCCAAAGCATCCACGTACCTATAGAGTATACACTTGGGCCCTAAAGCTACTACATAGGAACCCCTTTTTACGGCCCCAAGTATATACTATATACTAGACCCGGGAGTAGCCTAGGAATAAAAAGGAAGGAAAAAAGGCCCTACTCCCGGTCCTAATATAGATACATGGATCCCCAGGGTCTAAACCCTTGAACCACTCTAATCCCCAGCGCAGCCGCCGTAGTCGATGGGGATGATCCGCCCCGCCTCCCGGAAGTTCTTTCTTTGGGTAGTATACAAAGGGCCCTCGGTATGGGCCCTCAATAAGGGAGCCCTTACATGTCCCTTTTATACCCCAAACCCTGAACCCTAAACCCTGAAACACTAAAAACCATAAAACCCTAAAACCCTAAGCTCCCGTACGCTTCCTCAACCCTCAATCCTGAAGCTGCAACTGCCAACGCCACAAGCTCACTGTGCTTCGTGCAATCTTTTAAAGGCTAGTTTAGGGTTGATAAGAGTTAGGGGTCAAGGGTCAAGGGTTTAGGGTTGGGGTTTAGGAAGTCTACAGAGGGATTAACCCTAAACCCCAAACGCTAAACCCTAAACCCTAAACCCAAGGTTCAAGGTTAAGGGTCGAGGGTTTAGGGTTGAAAGTTGAGGGTTCGGGGCGGAGGATTTAGAGTTTCTGGCAGTGCCCTCTCTCGGCCCAGCTGTGAAGCCCTACACCCTCGTTTGCTGGCTAAACTCCGAAGCGGGTAAGAGTAAGGATTTCGGGTTAAACTGTTGAGGGCTTTACAGGGTTTAGGGTTTAGAAGATCTTGGGGTTTTGGGTTCAGGGCGTATAAGGTTCAGGGTTTATAAGGTTAAGGGTTTATAAGGTCAGGCTAACCTCGAGGCTTCAGGGGATTCATGGTTCCTCAAACGCGACGTGTTTTTGGCGGGCTACCCACTCTCACCACCGAGGCTTAAACCCAAAGACAAGGGCATCGTTTCGCTGCTGCTGATGCTTTGGGGTCCCCTATTTTTCGAAAACCCCGTATGAACTCTGAAACGTATGTCTGAGAGGAGCCTCATTCTGCGTGACGCAGTTGGGCGGCAACCTTGTGGGAGAGGCGACCAACGCAGAACCCAGCAGCATATCGTGGGTTTGGAATATGTTGGTCATGTCAAGTACCTCATATATTCGGGGTACCCCGAAAGGGGGCCATAGTAGAATAATGTAGAGAACTGGCCATCTGTATGGGCGTTCGGTGTACATCATTCAAGGCACGAAGAACCGTGCCATGACATTGCCACTCACATCTGGGCGCATCAGGAACAAAAACCTGAAAGCGTAAACCCGGCCACTAAGGGGTCCTGGGGGGGGGGGGGAGGGGTCCTCGTACCGGGTTTTTGTGGTTTAGGGTTTGGGTTTTCCAGGGTTTAGGTTTGTGGCGTGGGGGGGGGGGGGGGGGGGGGGGGGGGGTCCATCTAAACCGTAGGACCCTAGGGCTGCAGTTGCCTCAGAGTCCTCAGTGACGTCTGAGAGGCTTGAGGTTGCTTTGAGAGCTGAGAGTTTAAGAGCTACCCCAAACCCTAAACGAAACGGCCCTAAACCCTAAACCCTAAACCCTAAACCCTAAACCCTAAACCCTAAACCCTAAACCCTAAAAGGGCTTTCGGGTGTCGGAGTTCAGGTGTTGGGCGTCCTTCATGCTTTGGGGCCCTTAGGGACTTCATGTAAACCCCCATTAATTAGTGGTCTCAGGGGTTTCAGAACGGGGGGGGGGGGGGGGGGGGGGGGGGGGGGGGGGGGGGGGGCGCAATCTCCTGAGCCGATGGCCGCACCAGCTCAGGCAGTGAGGGTCCGTAGATATCCAAGTCCAGCAGGGCCACCTCAACATTCGCACTTTGCAAATTGAAAGCTGCATGATGGTTTTGGTGAGTCTGTATAGGGTTCCTTACAGGGTAACACTGGGCCCTTCTGTAAACGCGAAACCCTAACCCTGAACCCTACATTAAGGCTTTATGTCTCCAACTGCCACCGGAGACATGAAAGCCAGCCCCTGCAACACTGTAAGCCTAAGCCCTAAAACCCTAAATCCTACAGACCCTAACCGTCCCGGCCCCCCTAAGCTCTAAGCCCAAAAACCCCGAAGCCCTAAAAGCAACATGAAGCCCTGAATCCTGCAGACCCTACCCCCCCTAAGCCCTATAGCCTAAGACCATGGCCCTATAAACTCTAAACCCTAAACCCTAAACCCCAAAACCCTTAAAAAAACACAAACAAAAAACAACCCAACACCGGATGCCGCGAAAGGATGGCGCCGCGCCTCAAACTTCATTTGCTTCAGCCTCGGCGGCCGAGCCACAGGGTCTCGGGGGGTTTAGGGTCTGAACTCTGAACCCAAAGAGCCCAATACCCCTCAAATAAGGAAAATACCTTAAATCATCTTAAAGTTCCCTGTATAGTTTAAGGTACATTCCTTTATTAAGGGGTATTAGGCTCTCTGGGAATGCTGTTCTTTTTGTCGGGGCGTGTTTTTGGGTTTAGAATTTAGGGTTTAGGGTTTAGGGTTTAGGGTTTAGGGATGCAGGGAAGCAGAGCTTTCTGATCAAGTGGGTGGTGCCGGGAGGGGGGGGGGAACTTCTACAGTTCTGCTTCCAGCTATCCCTAAAGGGTCCATTATACCTATATGGTATATACTTGTACTGTGCAGCGACTATATGGGAACCCCTTTAAAACTAGATGGGCACATCCGGAAGAGCGACAGGTCAAGGGTTGATCGAGTTTGGGGATTAAGGTTTAGGTGTGAACTGCTAAACCCTAAACCCTAAACCCTAAACCCTAAACCCAGCAAACGAAACACCGCCTCCTGCACGATTGGGGAGCTGCTGCTAGTGATGATGCGGCAAATGCCGGTTTAGATCCCTGAACCCGAAACCCTAAACCTTTTGGTTTTGGGATCCCTACCCCAACCCTGCAAAACTAAACCCACTACAGGCTGAACTTAGGGAGGCGGACTGGATAGGCAGGGAGGGACCTTCTTTCTAGTGTTTAGGTAGGGTTTAGGGTTTAGGGTGTAGGGTCTAGGGTTTGGGGTCTAGGGCTTAGTGTTTACAGTTTAGGGTTTGGGGTTTAGGGTTTTGAGGTTTGGTGTTTAAGGGTTTGGGGTTCCGGGCTTTGGGTTTAAGGGTTTTCGGGGTTTCGGTTTAAGGCTTCATGATACCCTAAACCTTGGGAAGCCGGCATGTAGGCCAGGTTGACTGACAGAGTCGATTTGCCAACCTGAGATGTGATTCGTTTGGTACCACAGTCCTGTAAGACTACTGTGACTACGAACCTGCACACCTCGCAACCCCGGAAATCTGGAAAGTCTACAAACCCTGACCATCGACACTCATATGCAAAACCCTGCCAGCATTCAAACCCTAAACCCTAAACCCTAAACCCTAAACCCTAAACTGCATGGCGGCACAGGTTGAATTGAAGCTTTCCGCGATTCGTGGATGGAGGGGGTGGTTGGGAGCTAAGGGGTTGGGGGATTAGGGTTTTAGGGTTTTAGGGTTCAGGGTCTAGGATTACGAGGGTGAGGAGTTTGGGGATTTCGGGGATTTTATGGGTGTAGGGGTCAAAAGGGATACAGGGGTTGATTGACCCCAACGGCATTCATGCACGAAACTCAAGTCAATAGCTTATGCATGCTGGGTTTAGGGTTTAGGGTTTAGGGTTTAGGGTTTAGGGTTTAAGGTTTAGGGTTTTCGGGTTTAGGGTTTAGGCTTCCCAAGAATACCAGGCCCCACGCACCACCTTTGCCGCTCGCGCAGAGCAGCACCAGCTTCGCCGTGCTGTGCACATCTGCCGGGCTCTGGCCCCGTGGCCTGGGTGCAGACTTAGTCTGACTCTGTAGCCCTAAACCCTAAACCCTAAACCCGAAGCCCTCCCTAAGCCCGAAACCCTTATAAAGCCCTAAAACCATCTAGAAATCCAAGGAAAGACCACATCCCAACCCCAACTCGAATTCTGCTGTGTTTTTCACCATTTGGAGCCTGCTAGCAAACAGACTCCCTACCAGGCTCGTGAAGGAGTCGATGTAATACACGGCCGGCAAGCCGCTCGTGCGTGACCAAGCTTCGAAAAGCTCGGCTAGCGGAAAAAGCGTCGTTCGCCAAAGAGGCGAGGCCAGTTGCACCGCGTCTGCCGCAACAGTTTTCTAACGAGCGTACTCATGCACGCTTGCGCGCAAACGCTCGCAGAAGACCTCCCAGTTCTGCCCTGCAGTTTCACAGGAGAACAGTGGCAGCGCCCGGAGCTGTTGCAGGCACGCGAGTGGAGGGCCTGATCTGTACGCAGCAAGCAGTGCCTCCACCGCCTCCTCAAGCTCCATGTGGCCGTCCCCTTCCTCCGGCAGAAGCCCACCCAGCTCCGTCCTTCCGCCCAAGCCTTCTCCACGGCACGGGCCAGGCCTGGCAGCTTCCTCCCGACTTGCGGCCATTCTGGAGGGAGTCGTTTCGGGTTGCGCCGCATGGCACCGGCCGCCTCGTCCTGCAGGTTGTTCCAAATTACCAACATGCAGGCTGCCGACGGTCGCTGGCTTTGTTGTAGAATGCCACCACGACGCCTGCGTTCACTGTCTCCGGGAGCTCGCCAGTCCTTGTCACGCTTATGTCGTCACACTTCTTCCAGGTCGCGGGCTCCTTCACCCACGTCACATAGTGACCTGATCTCGAGTCCGTGCTCCCTGACACATGTTCCACCACTGCCGTGAGTTCGAACCTCTCCTTACCCACCGCCACATTCTGCGAGCACATTGCACGGCCACGATGTCGATGCTGCACGTTCTCTTCGTCGACCCGACCTGCCCGACCACCAAAGACCTTCCCACTTTCTCGATTGAAACTTGCGACTCCCCACGCCTTGTACCGCCACAAGACTCACACCGCAGTTCCACTGCCTGCGGGCGTATGTACTGGTCCAGCAAGTGCGACAGCTCTGTCTCCTCGGCGGCACCGTTCTCGTCCATGATCAACACCGACCAGTCTTCCGGACGGGATGCAGATGACAGCGCCAGCCCGTCCAAGCAGTCATCGTTGGGACACGTGCGTCGCGTGTGTCGCAGGACGTTCACGCCAAACACATTTTCATCGCAACACTCGTGATCCTCCCGAGAAAGTCTGGCTACGGTCAGTGCAGGACAAACACAAATCTTCTAGGCCTTGCCTCCGCCTCTAATTACAGAGCAGGGCGTGCTGGCGCATGCTACTATTTTGTTCGGGCCTGCCTGCTGTTGGCGCAAGGTGTCACACATCGCGCTCACCAGGAGTAAAGCGGAATCCTGCCGCCCGATGTCCAAGCCATGCTGTCGCACCACGGGCAGCCAGCGTTGCATACGCGCATGGTCTGCCTGGCCCGCGTCGCGGGCGAGCATGGTCCCTCGCAACAATTTAAACTCCATAGGCAATTCTCCTTCCGGCACGTGGAGGGTGTTTTCGTCTTGAGAATCCTTTCACGTCCGGACGGTGCAAAATAGCTTGCAGGCTTGCAGGATCGAGTTCAGAAAGCACGTGTTGCCCAGGTTCGCCAATCCAACCTCCTTGCCCAAGGAGCCTCTCGCCATCCTTCGCAGCACGCCCACCGCGGCGACCTTTTGCACGGCCTCTGCACGGCTTTGCGGGGAGGTCCGGCCCAGCCCACCGGCCCCCAAGGCTTGACGAGCCGGACAGGCTGGGCGAGGTTAAAAATCAGACGAGGCAAGGTCAACAGGAAGACTGGCACAGGGACGAGGTTAGAATTCAGTTCACGAGGTTGAAAAAAGAAACGAGGTTAAAACAAAGACGGCAAGGTTGAAAAAAGAGATGCCCATTCCTTAACTTCGGGATGTGCAAGGAAGGCCCTGATGACGACTGCAGCAGGAACTGACCTGACACCCACCAAACAAACAGGAAGGTTCAGGGTTTAAGGCTTCGTCAGCTCGCATACGCAAGCCCTCCCCAAGAAATACTGTACTTTCAAAATCATAGCTTCCCTAGATGCCAAACCTTCCCCATTCCCCCCACTGCTGGTCCCTCCGGAAACCGGATTCAATATAGGGCTTTACTACAGAGCAAAAGAAACCCTGAGATTGTGAGAAAGCATATTACCTGACGAGGCCCGAGTCTGCCGCTTTTTTGTTCTTACCCCTAAACCCTAAACCCTAAAACCTAAAACCTAAAAACCTATACCTAAACCCTAAAACCCATTTGTCAGGTAGCCTGCCACAAGCAGGCTCGAGTTTTTGCTGTGTGGATTCATGTGGTCCGCTGCAGAAGCGCACTCTTCAGGATGTTCTTGGCGTGGGTACCTACTTAAATACCCTAAACCCTAAACTTAAAAACCCTGAACCCCAAACCCTAAGCCCCAAACCCTAAAAACCTAAACCCTAAACCCGAAACCCTAAACCCTAAACAGGGTTTGGGGTTGAACAGGTTTTTGGGGGGTCTACAACACTACAAACCCTACACCCGAAAGCCCTAAACCGCAAACGCCAAGCCCAAAGCCCCAGCCCTCAACCCATGTTGCGCCCAAACCCCTAAACGCTGGATTTGGGTGCAGGGTTTAAGATCTAGGGGTTTAGGGTTTAGGGTTTAGGGTTTCGGGGCCCGAAACCCACCCTTCCCGCAGGCCGCACCCATGAGGTCCGGGCCCCAGGGGCTTGCTGTTCCTGGAATGACTTTGGGGGTTTCGGGTTGGTGCTGCAATAACCAGGAGTAGCAAAGATAAACTCAAAAGGGAACCCTAAAAGCTTGAAGTTCAAATGTCGGTTGAGTATAAGCTGGGGGGCTTCAGGGGCGCATGTAGAGCTTCAAGGGGGTAAGGGGCTTAGAGTGCTTAAAGGGAGGTGCGAGGCTTCGGTTTCAGTCTTTAAGGCCATAGGTTCATAAGGTTAGGTACTGATGATTTACTAAGTGTTGACGCAGCTCGTGCGGGTATAGGGTGCATCAGAAGAGTTGTATTCCCGCCGTGGGCTTCTGGGATCATAACATTGGAAAGGGCTTTGTCCATTTAATGGCTTTCGCTTCAGGGAGAGAGAATTGCCCTAAACCCTAAATCCTCACATGCTGATGCAGTTCTTCAGACCAGCCTCCTGACCCAACATACCACCAAACTCTGAGCCCTTCGACCCTGAACACGACACCCAGTCCACAGCCGTAAGCCCACACCCTTAACCCTGAAACACTCCATGCCGCACGCCTTTTGCAGCCTATACAGCCTATGCAGCCTAATCCCGTACAACTTAAACCCTATAAACCCTAAATCGCTACTCCAAGAAAAATGCGCCTGCCGCACAAACCTTCGGTCCTAAGCCTAGGACCTCAGACCCTCCACACAACCACCACCCCTAAACCTAGAAATTAAAAGGTGCCGCAGATCCCCCGCCCCCCCCCCCCCCCCGTTTTTGAACGGCGGGTTTATGGTTTAGGGTGTTCTTAATTGAGTTTTTAGGGTTTAGGGTTTGTTTAGGGTTTAGGGTTTAGGGTTTAGGGTTTAGGGTTTAGGGTTTAGGGTTTAGGGTTTAGGGTTTAGGGTTTAGGGTTTAGGGTACGGGGGGACAACCAAGGAAGGAAATCAACTCCCCTAATCGCCCTGAACTTATATTTCCCAGATCGAACCAAGAAACAACCAAGAACACGGATAAGAGCAACAAGGAAGGGGCACCCTTACACAAGTAGAGGGGCACTAACCCAATCCTCACTCCCAAACACGGACTTTTTTCTTTGGACGGGCTGGCCATCCTTGAGCCAAACATAGTTTACGGGTTCATTAACCCTGTCAACTTCCAACACTAACTCCTTTCTACAATACCAATTGCAGCTCCGCACTCCCCCTGTCCTAGGATTTCCTAGGACACATTGGAGATGCAGGTCTTTTGGCCAAAAACTGCCATTAAGGCAGCAGCCAGCTGCTTGAAATGCAAGTTCTGGTTTAACGTCTTCCAGGACTGAATTATAGCACGTTGGCTAACCTACCACCCATAGAGAATCTTTTTTCACCATGATCCTCTCATCACTGAAGACTCCTTGGCCTTCTTCACCACAAACCGTGGTCTTCGCTACGCGAAAAGCTACTTACTTCTACTATCAGGGATTTCCATACCCTTAATAGTAACCACCACACTGTCAGCACATTGGCTGTTCCAGCGCACCCGTCTCCAGAAAGAGAAAAACTATCCCTTCATCCATACCATCCAACCACTTCTTTTTCCGATTGTTGGCAATCTTGAGGTGAAGTTGCAGCAGAATATACTCCAGGTCCGAAACTGTAAGAACAGGATCCTGTACGCCCCTTTGAATTGAGGATACCAATCCTTCTCTCTTTGCGTCCTCAATCGCCTGGCAAGATTGACCCAGCTCTTCATTCGCAGTGGCAGACCCTGGTGCATCCGCATCAGATGGACGATCCTTTTCTTCAGGATCTTGAACCATTACCACCTCTTCTTTTTTGGGACTCTGACTTTTCTCCCTCTTCTTTGTCTTTCCACCGACATTTGACTTTGTGCGCGTCTTCGAGGATTTTTCCACTGCAGAAGCCACCACATTGGATGTTGATCCACCCTTCTCAATGATCGTCGGCATCTTCTTCGGCTTTGGAACCATGAGAGTGTAAGGATCTTCGATAGCTGCAGCTTTCCTCTTCTTTTTTACCTTTTTCTTCTCTTCTTCAACGGCAACCTCCGTCTCCGAAGTCTCAACCACTCCTTTTTCGGCAGGAATATCCTTGCTGGACTCCCTTTCTAGGGATCTCTTTTTACCTCTTTTGGGATCCTTTTCCTCTCCCAAATTGGCTCGCTCATACCATATCCTCAGGTCATTGACCCATTCTTCCACCTCCGCGAGCGAAACCTCATACGACTTCACTACTTCGAGAAGTTCCAGCACGGACAACATTTCAGTGGTCCACGAAACCCATACTTGATCCATTTGGTCAGCATCTCCAGTGAACTTCAGGAGTTTGAACAATGGGTCCGCCTCTGCTCGAGCCAAATCTGGCTTGCCACCGGAGAGAAATGAAATCGCCTCCATCAACAGTTCCGTCATCTTGGTCTCTTCGTCATAAACCATAAAATCCTCCTCATCATCATCGAACTGTTCAGGAGAGATCTCCTTTTCTCCACCATTTGCACCAGACTTTTTCCTTGGACCATCCCTTGGGGGCGTCCTTGGAGACCTTGGCCTCTGTTTTTCCAACGGAACACCATGCTCGAAGACACACCTGTCACCAAATCGACACTTCCCAGACCGAGCAAACTGGACGCACCTCACACCAGTTGCATCATGCGAGAACTCACAATCCTTTCCAGCGAAACATTCTCTCCCTGCCACATAGTATTTGCACCAATATGAATGTAGCACCACATCATCTTCGGAATGGATGAATTTGCAGTCGTCACCGAATTTGCAGCGATCTTTCCCCCTGCCGAACCAATAGCAGAAACCCTTCTTCCTCTTCTCCAAGCGCTCTGCCTCATACCGGTCCATAGGGCGATTGTGCTCTACATGAACATTGCCATGTACCTGGGGACTGCTCCCTTCACCCGACGTGCTATCAGTATTTGGTGCTTGGAGTACAGCTGGAAAACCCGGCCTTGGTCCTACCACCTTCATGATCGGTTTTCCGCCAACTCCTGAGCCATGCTGAGACGATCCAAAAACATTGAACATCTTCATGAAGGCCTTTCTAGTGCCAATCTTCTGCACCCTTTTGATTGGACGTTTCATTGCTCCAACCTTGCATCCAGATGCGTTCAAACGACACAACCTCCTATAACCAACTCTATGTCCCTTCTTCCAAAGAGCCATAAGAATTTTAGAGGCAGTAACATTCTCCACCTCTACCTTTTCCAATGGTCCCTCACTTCCCGGAACAAACCCATCCATATCTGAAGACCTTTCCATCTTTTTTGACACCACTTCGTCGAGGTAGTCTTCTGAGATCCAGGGTAAGTTCCCCTTAGAGGAAGGATTGTCATCATTGTTTGGTCCTTCA